TTAGGGTTAGGGTACGGTGAGTTCCAGGTATTGTTGTCGTCGTAGGATTGCTGCGGTCGTGAGCCGTTTTGACGTCCGCAACCTCGGCCCCGATTTCCACCGCCACGGCCTTATCCTCGTCCATAGCCTCCACGTTGACCAGAGTTGCCTTCCCCATAGTCTGTTCCGCCATAGCTGCCGGGAGTACCGGCGTGAGTGCCGCCGTGAGAGTTGCCGCCGGCTCGGGTCGTGATGACCGCCGTGGTGCCCGAGTCGGAGGGACTCGTCCGTTGTCGATCCAGCAGCATGAGGGAAGATCGAACCTGCAAAAACGCGGGCATAAGATCCTGAAATTGCATGAATGATGTTTGTGCCTGGAGATTGGCAGGGAGACCACGAAGCATTTGAAGGACGAGTTGGTGTTGGGAAACTGGTGCATCGACATCATCCAACCAGTCGGCAAGGTGTTCTGCAGTTGTTGACAATAAGCTACCATGGTGGAGTTTCCCTTGACTGTGGTACGAAATTCATGCTCCAATTGCATGGCTCGTGCATGTTTGTTGTCGTGGAACAAGTCGTGGATGACTTTCCAGAGAGTAGAGGAAGTAGAAACAGAGGAGATGACCAAATCTAATACCTCATCGGTGATGGTGGAGAGGATCCAACCTTGGAGGAGAGCGTCGAGTTGGAACCATTCGTCGTCGTCGTTGGAGCGGGGGACGACAAAGCCATCGATGTAGCCCTTAAGGGAGAACCGCCGAACCAGAAGAAGGAAGAGTCAGCTCCATTTTTGTAATTGGGTTGGGAGAGACTGAGTTGAATGGGGATATGAAGTTTCACATTAGAGACTATTGTGAATGCAAGATGATGAGGTTTGGAGGAGGTAGTTTAGGAAGTGACCTCGCTGTTTTCGGTCATGGTGAGGGGGAGATGATGACCGCCGAGGGGGGGTGTCGCCGGTGAAGAGAGCCGCCGAAGGGGATGGTCGGCGCTGCCGAGAGTGACGGCGAGAGAGAGGGCCGAATGAGAGAGAGGGGGTGGGTTTAGGGTTTTTGATTTTTAGGCTCTGATACCATGTAGAAAGGTTAATTTCATTTGATTGAATATGTGGGAGTACCATAGTTATCAAGGCGTCGCCTAGGCGACGCTTAGGGGCGAGGGTTGGTGGACGCCTAACTGGTCGCCTAGCTTTTTTTCCCTGGGCGACTGCGTTGTACAGTGAATGTGTCACCATCTCCGACACGCGTCTCCATGGAACGGAGGAGGAGAGGGAGAGAAGACGGAGGAGGAGATAGAGAGAAGACCGAGGAGAGGGAGAGAAGACTTATTTTATCGCTGATTATTTGTCGTGGTGCGGCTTCCAGATTTGCTCCACTGCCTCTTCCTATCTCTCTATCATTTAGATTTTAGACTAGTGGACTAGGTCAAATAACTGGGCTAGATTCATTAATAGACTATTAGACCTTCACTTAGGAGTCCAAAATTTAATAGACCTTTTAAAAGTACACTTTATTGGAGTAGGGTTTTATATATATATATATATATATATATATATATATATATATATATATCAGTGTTCATTTTAATTAATTATTTCATATAAAATTATTATGGTCACCATAGCCTACTCGCCCAACGGGCACCTAATCGCCTAGGCGATTGGAAGGTGCTCTAGCGCCCAGCCTCGCCTAGCCACCTTAACAACTATGGAGAGTACATGTCTATATATACACACAAGGATTCCTAATCCTATACAAGGTAGGAGACAATAATAGGAAACAATATATTTACATTAAATATAGAATATATATTTAACACATTATTTGTACAATTTGTGGAAATATTATCATCAATGCATATCAAAATCTTCAACCCATTATAATTAGTTACTCTTGAAACTGTAATATGGAGTTGTCCATGACTAAAACATGTTGGATTATTGTTACAGAAACCTGTGATAAACCCTAATTGCTCGTAGCTTCATCATTAACATTGATGATCTCTCATCAACATTTTTCAATGCAATTAAGATCCTCATTTTTCGTAGGAATGATAGTTTTAAAACGTAGGGGAAAAAATTCACAATGAATGTAATGTCTATGAAAGCTTTGTAAATGGATGTATTTATAATATGATTTTTGCATACGGGGTTAAAAAAATTATTCATTTTTCAAAGTGCTATAATGAATTTAAATTACTATTACTATATTTAAATTATTTAATTTATTATATTTAAGGACTATAATTAAAATTACTATAATTAAAATGACACGGTAAATAATACAGAGTATACAATTATCTAGTCACACGGTTATATAACTAATACCTTGTTTAATTATTACCTTTTCTGATTAAAATTACTATAATTTAAATATAGTAAAATATATGCATTATAAAATATAGCAGCCACTATAACTAAAATATAGCCATTATAAAATTACTATTATAAAATTACTATAATTAATTTGACACGGTAATTAACATTTAATTACTATAACTAATTTGACACGGTAACCACACGTAATATACAATTTTTATTAAAATTGCTATAAATAAAATTACTATAATTAATTTGACACGGTAATTAATTAGATGTCATTAATAGCGTGCTTAATATCATTTTATTAATTACCATTTTAACATCATAATTACCATATGTAATGGTTATACTCTTTAGGCAAGAAAACATAATATTGACTTCACCTCTTTTTAAATAAAGTATGGATTAATAAAATTTAAATAAACTCTGAAGCACGAAATATTGTTATATTATCATTTAAGAGGCCACAATGATATTTTAGGGAGAAAAGTGAAAGAAAATGAGGATTGGAGTGTAGATAGTAATATGTGAAGTGACATTATCACTTCCCATTTATTACTCGATAATATTACTGTTAAAGAAAATAGAAGTATGGTTGATTTTTGGTGCCAAAGTATTAGAGATGGTGTTACTCCCTAAACCACTTTGCCACCTACACTTGTTTTAGTACCAAATACATTTAGGTCGTTACTTATTTTTATTGGAATCAGACCAGATCAAAAACAAATTTTATTATATCAACATTTAGATCAAATTAGATCAGATCAAAACTTATTCCAATCTGATCAGAACAATTCAGATCAGCTAAAGATAATATGACCTTACTCTCTCCCATACAGTGCACCCTAATGACGACATTTAACCTTAGCATTTTGAAACTAATCTGTATCATTAACATTATGTTTGGATCAAGAAATTTGAGAATGAAAGGAAAAAAATGAGAAGGAAAACATTTTTCTTATTTGGCTAAAGAGGAAAAGAAAATAAAAAGATAAAATGTACAAGGAGAGAAAACCAAATTTCTTCCATTCTCGTAAGGAAAATGAGGAAACCTATTTTTTTTCTTTTCCTTCCAAATTTCTAAAACCAATCATAGTGTAACAAATTGTCAAAAACACTAACGATAATTGAAAACATTTTTCCTAGGTTGGAACAATCCTTTTCTCTCTTTCACTTTCAATATATTCATAGACTTGTAAGGTCGTACTCCAAAGTGCATACTTGAGATCAACGCTTAACAAACCCAACATAATTTTTAAAAACTAGAGGTAACAAATGCACTATTTTGACCATATGCCAATTTTCCGTTTTTCTAGAAAACCCCAAGCGTTGTTCCGATTTTAGTAGACTTTCACTTTTGTAAAAACAAAAAATAGATTTACACACTTTTACATAGTAGGATCTTAGATGCAGAAAACATGATTATAGCTTTGTTCATTACTCATGTGAATTGATCTTTGCATGAAAATGTTCATCAGGATCATCATCATCATCTTCATCAACATCAATAACTTCATCAACATCTTCATCAATATCTGGAGATGGAGGAGGGTGTCCATTAAGATCCACAAGGACCCCGTTCCGCTTCCTAACAAACTGCCCCCTAACCCTTGGCCTCCCATCAGCAAGGCGCTTGCGGTTCACATACCGAATCTTCTTGTCAAAGCAACGCGCCTTTCTCTTCTCCCTGAACTTCATCAACGCAACCTCTCTACGGTCTATTGTTTTGGCCATTTTACCATGATGGCCTCCATCAGATGATGGCCATGGCTGCAAACACATGTTCATGGGGTAATAGGTAAATGGACCCATTCCAGCCGGCATCATAACAGGATGATTCACCACTCCTGGAATGTAATATGGTGGTGGTGGTGGTGGATAAGCAGCATGGCCAAGAAGACTACCAGATATGTCAATGTGAGTCTCATTTGTTTGATGCATGCTCACCGGTGCCTTATGGAATTCCTCCATTTCCATACTGTTGTTATTGCTCCTTGGATAGTCCTCACCGCCATCAACAACTACGGCTTGATCTGTGGTTTCTTTATTAGCATTATTCCCACCCAATGCAACATTTAAATTTTCATGGCGGGACGTGTCTTCGGGGATGGCACATTGGTTTCGGCTTGACTTAACATATGTAAAGAAAGCAGAGGATTCGCCGATTTTCAATTCACTCTTCTTTGGAAATGAACATATTTTTCCTGGAAAGGAAAATTCAATTTACATGATTAATCATTTCAAAAAAAAAACATGACTCGATGGCTAGTGTGATTGACTTGAACTTCTTGAGGCATGAAAGTCATGTGCACAAGAATTTAAATAACATGCATAACCAAATACACAAGTGCATGGACATAAAAACCTCTTTAAAGTGATGCATGAATTGGACCCTTTTAATAGAAACCAACAACAATAAAAAAAAAACCAAAGGTGAACGAAAAAGAAGATAATATTATGGATAGGTATTCAACTTGCTATAAGCTACAGTTCTCTATACAAATTTAAGTACTTCACTGAAGTCATTATGGTCATGTAGCATAGCGCTGCAACTCGGCTATGAGGTTGCATGCTCAATCCTAAACCGTATGTGGCACCAAAAATGAGGAAACATGGTAAATACCTAAATACTTCTATTTTTACTACAACAAATCAGTAACTACTATTGCACATTTTGTGGAATACTACATAGTTGATAATGTATGCTTCCTTCGTCAGTTCGTCCTGAATTAATCGTCTTACTTTCCATTTTAGTCCGTCCCAAAATAACTGTCCTAACTCCTTAGTTACCTAATAAAGTAAAGAATATGTGGTCCACAATCTCTCTTTCTTTGAAACAAATTTCAATCACTTACTTTTTTATTTTTCAACACATTTCTTAAACTCCGTGAAGTCCAACTAGAACGGTTAGTTCAGGACAGCGAGAGTACTTTCATCAATTCGCAAGTTGAAAGTATTAGAGAATGACTTGCCTGTATTCTGGTCGCTAGTTCCTACCACATCTGGCAGACACTTGAATGAGCCTGCAACTACAGTCTCCCGTGAAGCAGCAGTTGTGGCATTGGCCTGAAAGATGGATACTCTGTATTATTTAAGGAAGAAAAAAACTGTACACACACAGACATGCTTTATTAATTAGCTAATTGTGGAAGATTCCAAGGAAAAACCCCATATTATAAAATTATAACACAAACAATGAGTAAGATAAACGTGAACCTAATATTATCAGATGGGAAACTGCTAAACACCAAGCAATACAACTTTGATCACCGACGTATCCATTTGGAAAAGTCAGGAAACTGCTAAAACCCAAATAGTACAATTTCAGTAAGGTAGTGTTTGGCAATTAGCATTTCATTTCAATTCATGCATTTCAATTCCAAAATTTGAAATCTTGAATTTCAAATGACAAGGGGAGGTGCATGGATTTCAAATTAAGCATTGTTTTGAATGTAAAGAATTTGACTCAAATCCAAATTCAAAATGCTTAGATTTCCCAAACATGGAATTTAAGTCAAATCCGGATTTGAAATCCAAATCCATGTTCCCAAACGTACCATAATATCATTTTGTTGTTATTCAAGTGTATATGTTAGTGTAGAAAAGGAGCTACTTAGCAAGAATCATTTTATTGACATGAACTCTGCTTTCTGTTTTTCATTTTCGCCTTTCAGAAAATGGAAAAGGATAAAAAGAGACATTCAACAAGCCCAGGTATATAGGTCCAACAAAACTTGAAATATGCAAAAGATTTAACAAGTGTAATTTTAGTGTGCAACTGTAACTAAGCTAATTCCTGATGGAAAGTAATTCCACTAGGGTCACTGTTCAGATAGCAACACATAGAGTAGATATAGAGGTCGAGGTATGTATGAGTTATATTAAGCTTGTCTTCTTCCCCGTGAGGAGAGCTGGGGAGGGAAATTTATAGATTATATCCACCAGTGGTTTACGTATAACACGGTACTATTCTCGTCATGACCACTTGGGTACTATGCTGTATTCTTTCACCGTGACTGGCTTGTGGTGACTATAATAAAGGCATCAGGGACCACAGGTGTGGTTTCTGCTAACAGCCTCTAACATGAATTACAGTACCGGGTATGGCTAATGTGTGAATGGACTTATATAAATACAGTATATTAAATACTTTCAACAGCAATTGTGCCACTGCCAATATACCCATCAATTCCAAAATGATATTGATCCTGATATAATTCAAGATTGGTGGGGAGAATAAATGAAGGGAAGCCTATCAAATTATGAAATCGGGATCCAACTTCATAAATAATAAAGATGAATGAAAATCTTTATCAAAATATGAGTAAGAATCTTAAACTCATATAACTAATAAAGGCAAGGAGAATCTCCAATGATAAATTAATGTGTAATCTTCTCTAATCAAGACTAGAGGTCTATTTATACAAAGAATCTAACTTCTACTAGTACTCCTGGCTCTTTTTAATCTTCCCACCTTCCTTTATTGGATGTCCCTGATTAATCTTCCCATTTTCTTTTAGAGAAAGAATTGTATGGTTTACATCAATTCTCTCTCCTCAGCACAAATTTCAACCACACAATTTCACATTTCTTAAACTCCGTGTAAAAAAGCAAATGGGAGGAGGAAAATTAATTAGGGATGAAGGGAGTAATGACTTACTCATAACCATTGTTCTCAAGTCATCGCCTAGTCGACTAATCGTTCAGGCGTTTTCTGAATGGCGACTTGCACGTGGACTAGCGACTACTGGGCGAGTTAAGCGACGCCTAGGCGCGCCTAGGCAACAACTAGTCTGTGAAGAAAGCCTGCCCAATTTGATCCAACCCAATTTGACCCAACCTGACCCAAATTTCATTAAATCTTAAAGATTACTCGATAAAACACAGCCTCCTTCGATCGGTTCAATCAGCACAATCAAAATCCAGTGAATCAACATTTAACCCTTTCCAAATCGCGACATCTCCTTCATCTGGATCAATTTTTTGGAATCGATTCTTCTTCATCTTCTAGGATTCACACGCTCTCTATCCATGAGTAAGATCTCTCTATCTTTAATTATTTATCACTAAAGTATACTCTTAATTTGGTTTGATTTTCTTTAATTTGGTTTATTAAACTATTAAAGTATATTATACTCTTAATTTTTCAGTTTTCTTCAGTTTTACTAATTTTTCAGTGACTTTATGTGACTCTGTGTGCTACCTTTAAACATAGTTTTGCTTTGGTAATGATTTTTTTTCATATAAATTTATATAGTTATCTTGGGTGAATGTAAATATGTATAATGTTAAAAATTTCAATATTAATTGTGATTTGTCGGCTAGTCTACGACTAGTAGGCCCACTAGTCGACTAGTCCACTAGTCTACCCTTCACCGACTCGACTCGACTTGTCGACTTAACAACCATGCTCATAACCTCTGACTAAGTGGGAATAACTTACTCCAAACCTCCCACCTACTAACTAGGATTTAGGACTAAATGACTCCTTACTTCTATTAAGTGTGATTAAATAATTATTAAATGATAAATAAAAAGACTCAACAAATTATTAAATAGTGCAATTAATTAAATACTACAATATGACTCAATCAACGAGCCTAGAACCTATCAGATCTCCACCCACATTTATTCCCTCACAAGTCACAAGCCAGTGAAGCCCTAAAGTAAAAGATTCAAATATCATCATTTACATACTTCCATCGACTCACCTCATCATCCTGCTCAGATGACGGACCAGTTTCTGGATTAATGCTTTTACGTGACTTTCCATTGGTGTCATCAGAGAAGAGCGTAGTGCTGTTTGTGTTAGCATCACTTGGGTCTGATACTACTAAAGCAAAGTCATAATTTATAACATTCTTCTCCACTAGTCCAAGCTGTGCACAAACCAAGAATAGTAGTATAAGAATAGCTATACATCATCTGTTAACAGAAAAGAACTGAAAGCACCTACACAAACTAAGATTACATATTAGACGTAACTTGTGCGGTATTGATATCTCAACCAATCCATGGTTAGAGGTTTCTATCGCCTTTCTACGGCAGAAGTGTAAGGCCAACTACTTTTTGGTTACCATACTAATTCATACTTAGATAGAAAATAAAAATATAAAATGTATAAATGTGCATGCCATTCGCCGTCTTCTCCACATATGAGTCCACAAGTTCAAAAGCTCATTGGTACGAAGAGGCTTCACAAGGTAATCGGCAGCTCCCAATCTTAAGCATTTAACAACAACAGAGACCTCATCTTGAGATGACATCACTACATAAAAGAAAATTTAAAAAGAATTTCAATTCTCAAATTAAAATGAAATTTTTAAAAGAATAAGATAGTGAGTTTTTGACTTACTGATCACTGGAATTCGCCTCAACTCTTTATCCCTCATAATGTATTTCAACAACTTCATCCCTTTGGGCATGGGAATGTCAACTTCACAAAGAATAATATCAATATCAGGTCCTTCTGCATTCAATGCATCAACCACCTGCCTGGGCGACCTCACTGAGGTCACTGCAAATTTAAACTCACTCAGAGCCAGGAAACAGAATCTGGTGACAAATCTCTCCGGCAATTGAGGGAAATAAGTACCAGGTAATAATATTTAATCTCTCCTCACACATGTCTTCATCCACTCATTGACCTTGAACCTAGACTATGAAAATGTTCAATCATGTTTTGGGCAATGTTCTTTTGACCCGAGCCAAAAAGACCCCAGAATGACCTGGGCATTTTGGGGCACCTACAGTGCTCTGTTTGTAAAATTGATGGTTCCTACCCCGTACTCCCCCGCACCCCACCCCACCCTAGACCGCCGATTTGGGCTTTGCCCAAATCGGCAATCTCGGGGATGGCTAAGGTAGGGTGCGGGGGGGTGGGGTGGGGTGCGGGAGGAGGGTTAGGGAGGATAGGAACTATAAATTTTACCAACAAAGCACCGTAGGTAACCCGGGTCATTTTAAGGTCAAAATAGCCCGGGTCAAAAGAACCGTGGTGTCCTCATTTTTTGAAGCAAGACAGCAAGGTTGCTGAATGACAAGCTAATGCTTTGTTTGGATCGACATGTGAAACCCAGGAATTTCTGGGTTTTATCAAATCGTGTGATTGTGGGAACATGCCTCCTCCTAACCTTCGGTTTTGTCATTTGTGTACTTCCTAGGAATTGGGTGTGTTCTCGTTTCTTTATCTCATTCTAAATATGTCTTTATCTCATTTGCAGTAAATCTATTCTCACTTCTCAGTAAATCAATTGTAACATACGAATCAATCAACACACACTTAAAGTGCTCGAACACTTTTACTTCCAGAATCTATTTCACATAATCACAAGTAAACAGTACATAATTAAATGCAATCAACACAACGAAGACATTAAATGTGAGATTATTAACTTAAATAACCAATGCAACCCTCTCCCAATAAGAGAAAATCTAATTCCAATCATATTGATGACCCATGGAACATGTCGTAATACAGAACAGGCAATATAAAAATTATACAGAATAAATGTAATAACGAAGAAAGATCCCTCAGGAGAACAAAGTTATCTCGGAACTGCACAAAGGAGAATATTCAAATACCTTGATAAGAACATTTGCACAAAAGTGTGATAACCTCCCGGGAGCTCTCAGAATCATTATCACACAGCAAAATCCTAACATCACTCCTATCTATGAATCCATCTCCGGTCTTCACTGTCTCTTTCTTCTCCATCAGAGCCACTCATAAAGAAAGAAATAAACGCAAAACAAAACAAATACTCCTTATATATAAAAAAAAGGGAAATAGTGTTAGGTTTCTTCAGTTCGAAACCCAAAAATATCCAGTACTAAAGAACCTTTGTATAGAAAATTCCTTATCTACTACCAAATAAAAAAGAACCTAAAGTTCTAGAACTCCATTAGCAGATCAAGCAGTAATTCCAATCAAATATCCCAAAAGAAGAGTAGAAGACCAATACAAATTTTCTAACAATCATCTCAAGGACTGTTCAGGGACAGAACACGGTTCTGGCTCTGCCACCAACCGGATGCGGTTTGTTTTAAATCGTACATAAGAAGTTCCGGCAACACACCGCCGACGGCCAGCGCACGGTGCGGGAGAAGAAAAGAGCGAAAACTTTTGCTTTTCTGGTGGGAGCGCTTCCCCTTCTCGGGGAGAAAAGTAGTAAACCCAAAATATTTTAGCTGCGCTGTTTAGCCGCGGTGGCGAGTGCTAATATGCGCCGGGCATAGGGGAAAAGCTCTCGTGCTGGCAGCCAATTTAGTGGCGTAGCCGCGTAGGCGGTCTAGCCAAATGGTCGACGTGGAACTTGAAGGTTGAACTTTGAAGAGGATAAAAACAAAAAATTGATGTTGGGTAATTCAACACTCCCTCCGTCCCATGAAACATGGAAGTTTTGCTTTTTAGGAGGAATTTAAGAGGAGTGTATTTTGGTATTGAATTTCCAAAAATGTCCTTTAATGTGATGGGTAAAAGTATGATTTGATGGATAGATTATTAGTAAAAAGGTATGATGTGATAGTTAGGGTATGAAAAAGTAAGGGGTAAAAGTGACTTTTTAATAGAAATGAGAAGTGTTTTGTGGGACGGATAAAAAAAGAAAGAAGAAAGGTTTTCTGGGACGGATGGAGTATTCAAGTTTTTGAATGTCCAAGAAAGAATCAAAATCCCTTGGTCAAGAATGAAGAGGTATCAGAATCTTTGGGACAAAAGGAAGGACAAGAAGATGTGAAGTGTCTAGGACAAGATGAAGATGAACTCCTGGTCATTGATATGCCATTGAGTAGTTTGGCCCCTTCTCATACTCATTTGGCTAACCAAAAGGAGGATGGTCTGCTTATCACCATGAAAGGAAGTTGTGTCAAGGTGATACCCAAAGCAATGGTTGTGGTGCTTCCCATCAATCTGGTGTCTTTCCCAAGATCATATTCAATCCACTGCCCAAACAAAAGAAAGCCGTGGGTATTTGATCCCGTTGTTTCTCTTAATGGATATGAAGACACATGCTCATCCCTTATGAAGAAAAAGGAGTTGACAAACATATACGTGCCAACTATCAGCCCCATGTGTCGTCCTAAAGAAGAGAAAGACACTCGTTTAACTCCCAAAAAGTTTTATGAGAAGAAGACTCAAAGTGGAGTCATGAGCCGAAATGCAGGAGCCTTGCCCCGAAGAATATCTTCACTAACGGTACCTCGTACCAAGTTTGTTAAGTTTTTGCATGTTCCAAGTAAGGAAGGAATACAAGAAACATCCGAGTTTTATTACAAGACTCGTGAAAAGCTTGAGAAGAGAAGTGAGTTGAAAAGTCCCACCCACTTTCAACCCGGCGATCTAGTGTGGGCCCATATTCAAAGAGAGCGTTTTTATGAGAAACGCAAGTCAAGGCGGAAATTCCGAGACGATGGTCCATTCGAAGTGCTAGCCCGAGTCAACGACAATTCCTACATGGTTGACCTTACAAGAGGTCAAAGAGTTGCTGCCACATTCAAAAAAAGGGACCTTAGTCCATATGACGGTCTTGATTATCCGTTGAGTTTGAGGGCAAACTCTTTTGAAGACCGGGAGGATGATATATCTAGGCCCGACCCTATCATACCCTCCCCCA